CTTACTTGGACAGCAATGTGATATAACACTGAAACCATTAAATGGTACAGCACCATAACATAACTGAAACTACAATAAACAAAATGGTGGATTTGATTATTAAACTTGCTGGACACTACTATAGTATCAAATTAACTCTGCATGTACATTTTTCTCTCTAGGTTTTCTGGGCTTTAGGAACTTGTTTTGAAGTATTTATGGCATTTCTTGTGATACCAACTATTGGCTGGAGATACTTGGTTGGTTTCTCAGCCATTCCATTAACAATATCTCTATTAGCATTTAGGGTAAGTGTATTTATCATCATCACACAGTTACACATTCACTGATCATTCATGTGACTAAAAGTGTTAAAAATCAGTATTTTCAATAGTCAGAACACAAATAAGGACAACTTTCATCTTGATTCTGACTTGCTTTCAAATTCAGATTCACTTTCAGGGTCGAACAATATTAATAAGCTTCATTCAATGGTAGTTTGAAAGATTTGTATTTCTTTTGTCTCGACAGTATTTGCCCGAGTCTGTGCGCTATTGCATGGCTGCTGGTCAGCAAGATGTGGCGGTGGAGACTTTGAAGCGAATCGCTAAAGAGAACAACACAACACTTCCTCCAGGTGAACTTGTCAAATCAGTTGAGGTGAGCGTTCTAGTTCATGGAAAAATTTGTTTGTTTCAGCTGATCTGTACTTTTAACTTTGAATCTTTGTGGCTACCAGTACTGTAAAATACTTTATTTTAGCTGAAATCAATTTTTCGCTGAAAAGACTTTTGGAATGTTTTGTATGGTTTTGTTTCACTGATTTTTGATGAGTTGAATGTTAAATATGGGAAAAAAGGTTTATTCGCTGGATTTTATTTTCACTGAATCATTCCTTCAGCGAAAATAGCAAAAATTAATTCCAAGTGAAAATAAAGTATTTTACAGTACTCTGTCTGACTCAAATAAATAGACTATGATTTCGGATTTTCCCATGAGGCGAGGCATCCTTTGGGGCTTCCAGAGTTTTGCTGTATTCAATATTAATTTGTTCATTTCAGTTGCCAAGGGGAAAATTCGTAGATCTTTTTACTAAAGAGTATGCCCGGACTACCCTTCACCTGTGGTTTCTCTGGTTTGCTGCGGCGTTTAGTTACTATGGTCTTGTATTAGTGAGTTCAGAAGTGCTGGAATTTGACAGTGTATGTGGTGCCATGGAGGAGTGGAGTAAAAATTCCAAAGAAGACGGGATATGTTTCTGCCAACTCCTATCAAAGAGTGATTACGTTACAATAATTTTAACAACGTTGGGAGAACTTGTTGGTAAGAAGGCTATTCATGTTCATCCTAGCAATGCTGTTTCATGGTTTAATAACTTTATTTTTTCATTGACATTTCAAAACATAGCCTAGCACTTGACCTTATTAGTTGGCGTTTGAAATCCTTGCATACTAAATACCTAATTTGCATAATAATTAGTTTCTCAATCTTTTCATCGATATCTTAAAAACCAGTTATTGCAATTCAATAGCACAGGTGCCTGAGGACAAAATGTGTTGGATTGAAATCCTTGCATACTAAATACCTAATTTGCATAATAATTAGTTTCTCAACCTTTTCATCGATATCTTAAAAAACAGTTATTGCAATTCAATAGCACAGGTGCCTGAGGACAAAACGTGTTGGATTGAAATTCTTGCATACTAAATACCTAATTTGCATAATAATTAGTTTCTCAACCTTTTCATTGATATTTTAAAAAACAGTTATTGCAATTCAATAGCACAGGTGCCTGAGGACAAAACGTGTTGGATTGAAATTCTTGCTCACTAATTACGTAATTTGAATAATTAACCAAATGCATTTAATATGTGCCCTGGGATACTTCACAAACCTGTTTAGTTTTTAGTAAAAAAATCTGTATATATTAAGTAACTAGTTTGCATAAATTAGCCTATTATTAGCTTTTCCATAGATATCTTAATAACAACTCATCCGATTTCAAAAGAAACTTGATATATACATGTAGGTGCTCTAGGGGTATAAAAGTGGTTAGTTTAGGGCTGAAACCGTACATATTAATTATCAAATTTAAATAATGAGCCAATTTTTCAGTGAAAATTTTTACACAGATGCCCTTGGGCTTTCTTTGAAAGTGATTAGTTTAGAGTTGCAAACAACCCATATTGATTCCCCACCATTAATTTAATTAAGTTTCTGATATCTTGAAAAGTCAGATTTAAATTAAACTTGTTACTCAGGTGCTTTGGGAAAACCTGATTGCAAACCAGAGATGTACAAGCAAATGTATTCCTCTTGTTCACACTGTGCTTCTCAAATATCAGACTTGTATTAGTCTCCCTAGGCTTCTCAAATATCAGACTTGTATTAGTCTCCCTAGGCTTCTCAAATATCAGACTTGTATTAGTCTCCCTAGGCTTCTTAAATTTTTAATTAATTTTAAATATAACCTATCTAGCTATAACCATATGCCTCCTATTCTCAGCATGCAGAAATTATTTCTAAGCTTTCTTTGATTTGGAATGTTTCAACAATATTAGGATTCTTATCAATACGTGATTTTTTTGTTATCTGATGTCACAGGAAATTTTGAGTTGATTTCTCCATAGAAACCAGTGTAAATATGAAAATTTTGAGTTGATTTCCCCCATAGAAACCAGTGTTAGTAAATATTAAGATTTTGAGTTGATTTCCCCATAGAAACCAGTGTAAATATGAATTTTTTGAGTTGATTTGCCCCATAGAAACCAGTGTAAATATGAAAATGTTGAGTTGATTTCTCCATAGAAACCAGTGTAAATATGAAAATGTTGAGTTGATTTCTCCATTGAAACCAGTGTAAATATGAACATTTTGAGTTGATATCCCCATAGAAACCAGTGTAAATATGAAAATGTTGAGTTGATTTTCCCATAAACAAGTGTAAATATGAAATTTTGAGAAGATATCCCCATAGAAACCAGTGTAAAAATGATAATTTTGAGTTGATTTCTCCATAGAAACCAGTGTAATTACGAAAATTTTGAGTTGATTTCCCCCATAGAAACCAGTGTAAATATGAAAATGTTGAGTTGATATCCCCATAGAAACCAGTGTAAATTCGAAAATTTTGAGTTGATATCTCAATGACAATTTTTAACATTTTAGATTCATATATCTTGAAAAATTGTTCGGTGAGCCCAATTTCTTTTTCATTTTTGGTATACTTTTTTTATGAACCCATAATAATAAAAGTATGAGTCACACAACATTTAACTTTTTCACCATCAGACTTTCCTGCCTAAATTTTTCTGCACTTTTTTCTTATATTCTTCCATATTTCTTCAAAATGAACCCTTATGTTGGGGCCAACAGACAAAATTTGAGTCAATTTTCAGTTTTTACTCAAAATATTTGGCTTTTTTTGTCCCAATCTTCTAAAGGAAAGTGCAGACTATAAACAAGATTATTTTGTAAATTTGTGATGAAAAGAGGGAACTGATGGTGAAAAGGTTAAACTTCAATTTACTGAAGCCTTTAATTCACTATTTTTACGTAATTTTATTTGTTTTTTATTTCAGCAATACCAATGAATGTATTATTAGTGGACGCTATTGGTCGTATCAAATTACTTGTCTTATATTTTTTCCTGTTTGCTATGTTTATATGTTTTCTTCTTATATGTTCAAACAGGTATGTGTGAAATCTATTTTATTTGTCGACTGACAAAGTTTTCATTGTGATCCTTCACTGGATAAATTAAAAAGAAAAATGTTACACCCACATTTTGACATTCATATTGGTGTTACAGAGGAAAGATGACACTCAACGAATGAACAAAGCAAAATATTTGAACGGCCCCGAAAAGTTTGCTACATTAAGCAGCAGACATTGTACATCTGCATACATTATGTATCATACATCATGTATCAAGCACTATATATTATGTATCATACATCGTGTATCAAGCACTATATATTATGTATCATACATCGTGTATCAAGCACCGTACATTATGTATCATACATCATGTATCAAGCACCATACATTATGTATCATACATCATGTATCAAGCACTATATATTATGCATCTAGCATCTCACATTATGCATCATACATCATGCACCATATATTATGCATCTAGCATCACACATTATGCATCATACATCATGTATCAAGCACCATATATTATGTATCATACATCATGTATCAAGCACCGTACATTATGTATCATACATCATGTATCAAGCACCATACATTATGTATCATACATCATGTATCAAGCACTATATATTATGCATCTAGCATATCTCACATTATGCATCATAGATCATGTATCAAGCACCATACATTATGCATCTAGCATCACACATTATGCATCATACATCATGTATCAAGCACTATATATTATGCATCTAGCATATCTCACATTATGCATCATAGATCATGTATCAAGCACCATACATTATGCATCTAGCATCACACATTATGCATCATACATCATGTATCAAGCACTATATATTATGCATCTAGCATCTCACATTATGCATCATACATCATGTATCAAGCACTATATATTATACATCTAGCATCTCACATTATGCATCATACATCATGTATCAAGCACTATATATATTATGCATCTAGCAGCACACATTATGCATCATAGATCATGTATCAAGTACCATATATTATACGTCTAGCAGCACACATTATGCATCATACATCATGTATCAAGCACCATACATTATGCATCATACATCATGTATCAAGCACCATATATTATGCATCTAGCATCTCACATTATGCATCATACATCATGTATCAAGCACCATATATTATGCATCTAGCATCTCACATTATGCATCATACATCATGTATCAAGTACTATATATTATGCATCATACATCATGTATCAAGCACCATATATTATACATCTAGCATCTCACAACATGCATCATACATCATGCACCATATATTATGCATCTAGCATCTCACATTATGCATCATACATCATGTATCAAACACCATATATTATGCATCTAGCATCTCACAACATGCATCATACATCATGTATCAAGCACCATATATTATGCATCTAGCATCTCACAACATGCATCATACATCATGCACCATATATTATGCATCTAGCATCTCACATTATGCATCATACATCTTGTATCAAGCACCATATATTATACATCTAACAGCACACATTATGCATCATACATCATGTATCAAGCACTATATATTATGCATCATACATCATGTATCAAGCACCATATATTATACATCTAGCATCTCACATTATGCATCATACGTCATGTATCAAGCACCATATATTATGCATCTAGCATCTCACAACATGCATCATACATCATGTATCAAGCACCATATATTATGCATCTAGCATCTCACATTATGCATCATACATCATGTATCAAGTACCATACATTATGCATCTAGCATCACACATTATGCACCATATATTATGCATCTAGCATCTCACAACATGCATCTTACATCATGCACCATATATTATGCATCTAGCATCTCACATTATGCATCATACATCATGTATCAAGTACTATATATTATGCATCATACATCATGTATCAAGCACCATATATTATACATCTAGCATCTCACAACATGCATCATACATCATGCACCATATATTATGCATCTAGCATCTCACATGCATCATACATCATGTATCAAGCACCATATATTATACATCTAACAGCACACATGCATCATACATCATGTATCAAGCACTATATATTATGCATCATACATCATGTATCAAGCACCATATATTATACATCTAGCATCTCACATTATGCATCATACGTCATGTATCAAGCACCATATATTATGCATCTAGCATCTCACAACATGCATCATACATCATGTATCAAGCACCATATATTATGCATCTAGCATCTCACAACATGCATCATACATCATGCACCATATATTATGCATCTAGCATCTCACATTATGCATCATACATCATGTATCAAGTACCATACATTATGCATCTAGCATCACACATTATGCATCATACATTATGCATCTAGCATCACACATTATGCATCATACGTCATGTATCAAGCACCATATATTATGCATCTAGCATCTCACAACATGCATCATACATCATGCACCATATATTATGCATCTAGCATCTCACATTATGCATCATACGTCATGTATCAAGCACCATATATTATGCATCTCACATTATGCATCATACATCATGTATCAAGTACCATACATCATGATGAGCAAAATGATAGATTTTGAAGAAGTATCATATACTCTGATGAAATATCACCTGTGAAAATTCTATTGTCAAAGCTGCATGGTATTAATCACTTGTTTTTACCATCAACAGAATCTTTCTGACATTCACCGTCTTTGGTATCAGGGCGTTTTCAAGTGGAATATTCAACATAGTCTATATTTACACAGTAGAAGTCTACCCTACTACAGTGAGAGCTGTGGGTTTGGGTACGGGTAGTTCTATGGCTAGAGTGGGTGCCATGATTACACCATTTGTAGCACAGGTAATGATACAGTAGAAGTCTACCCTACTACAGTGAGAGCTGTGGGTTTGGGTACGGGTAGTTCTATGGCTAGAGTGGGTGCCATGATTACACCATTTGTAGCACAGGTAATGATAATGTAGTTCTATGGCTAGAGTGGGTGGGTTTGGGTATGGGTAGTTCTATGGCTAGAGTGGGTTGGTATGGGTACAGATAGTTCTATGGCTAGTGTGGGTGGGTTTGGTTACGAGTAGTTCTATGGCTAGAGTGGGTTGGTATGGGTATGGATAGTTCTATGGCTAGTGTGGGTGGGTTTGGGTACGGATAGTTCTATGGCTAGAGTGGGTGCCATGATTACACCATTTGTAGCACAGGTAATGATAATGTAGTTCTATGGCTAGAGTGGATGGGTTTGGGTATGGGTAGTTCTATGGCTAGAGTGGGTGGGTTTGGGTACGGGTAGTTCCATGGCTAGAGTGGGTTGGTATGGGTACGGATAGTTCTATGGCTAGTGTGGGTGGGTTTGGGTACGGGTAGTTCTATGGCTAGAGTGGGTGGGCTTGGTTACGGGTAGTTCTATGGCTAGAGTGGGTGGGTTTGGGTATGGGTAGTTCTATGGCTAGAGTGGTTGGGTTTGGGTACGGGTAGTTATGAAGTCATGAAGATTGGAAGTAACATATTGAAATAATATTGACTGAAAACTGTTTGAGATATTGGAAGTATATATTTTAATATTAACTTTTATTAACTATTAATATTTAGGTTTGTTATCACATGGTAGTGGAAAATTGGTTTCCAATAATTGTGTGCATCTGAAAATACACTTATTGTTTTACTAGTATTCTAAAGTATATCTAGATCACGTGCTTAGAAGACTTTGCCAAAACATTCGTTGCAATTTCATTTTCAGCCTAATTAATTTCCCTTATATTGTGATTGATTGCCAGGTGTTACTGGTGTACTCGGTGAATTACGCAGTTTTTGTATATGCCGGCGTAAGTGTGATTGGTTTGCTGTTAGCTGCTACCCTTCCTATTGAAACCAGAGGTAGACCCATCAAGGTAGGTATTTACAATAGCACTCTTCGATAATACTTACAGGCTTATTAAAGTGTTATCGTCGGCATTTTTTCTCTCTAAATTCTGCCTTGTGGATGTGCTTCTACTCAGCTTGATAATACTGGCCGTGACGTAACTTGTATCAACCAGCTCCATGTATCCAGAGTTATTAGGAAACCAGTATTGTGATTGCATATGACAGAGTAAGACATAGTGGGAGTGTGTACAAATCCTAAATGCAATCTGAGCAGTCGCTGTTTTGGTGTGGCTTGTTAGCTTGTGTATATATCTGGTATCGTCGATTATGCGTGGGCTTCAAATATGAACACAACGTTCAGCACTCTCAATGAGGTTTGATTGACAAACCTCAGCGACGGTGTGAACGTCACTTACATAAAACGCAAATTGCAATTGACCTCACTGTGATGACGCATGCGTTGTGGAATACGGAAAAGGGAGTAAAGCATGCGCACTGCATACACATTATGCAAATAACCTTTAACGAGGTTATGACATATCTCATGGATATTATTTGAAAGTGCAATTATTAATAGAAAGCATTTATTATGAAACGCCGGGAATCATGTATACTCTGTCTATTGTGGTAATTTGAAGACTACACGCTTTCTATCATACTTAACTGGTCACCAAATTCTTTACACTGTAAGTCTGCATGAGCGTAGGCAAGCTTAAATAGGTTTTGATTGTATACAGCCCCACCAGTGGCTGTTCACGGCTCCAAACTTCAAGTGATTACCTAATAATATATGCATTTTTTTTTTTTTTTTTTTCAGGAACATTAAATTCTCACATCACTGATTGGTCTTTCATATTGATGTTTTCAAAGACGTCTTGCAGAATGTTTTATTTTCCATCCAACTTTGGGAATGTCTTCCATATTTAGATTACACTTTTCCATATATACATTGAAGGTGCCTTTTATTGTCATGTATTTTTATTCATCTTCCATTTTAGAATCTCTATATACGAACTATTTTCCATATTTAGATTAAATATGCCATATATGGTTGTTCATCTTCCATTTTAGAATCTCTATATATGGACTGTCTTCCATATTTAGATCAAATATGCCATATATGGTTGTTCATCTTCCATTTTAGAATCTCTATATATGGACTGTCTTCCATATTTAGATCAAATATGCCATATACCGGTATGGTTGTTCATCTTCCATTTTAGAATCTCTATATATATATATGGACTGTCTACCATATTTAAATAAAATATGCCATATTTGGTTATTTTTCTTCACTTTTAATCTCTATATATGGACTGTCGTCCGTATTTAAATAAAATTTGCTTTATATGGTTATTCATCTAGTTTTGAATTTCATAAATTGATCCTTATATGGATTTTTTATCTTCCAGTTTTAGAATTTCCACACATTGACTGTATTTTATTTTAGAATTTCCACACATTGACTGTATTTCATTTTAGAATTTTCACACATTGACTGTATTTCATTTTAGAATTTTCACACATTGACTGTATTTCATTTTAGAATTTTCACACATTGACTGTATTTCATTTTAGAATTTCCTCACATTGACTGCATTTTACTTTAGAATTTCCACTCATTGACTGTATTTCATTTTAGAATTTCCACACATTGACTGTATTTCATTTTAGAATTTCCACACATTGACTGTATTTCATTTTAGAATTTTCACACATTGACTGTATTTCAATTTAGAATTTCCACACATTGACTGTATTTCATTTTAGAATTTCCACACATTGACTGTATTTAATTTTAGAATTTCCTCACATTGACTGCATTTTACTTTAGAATTTCCACTCATTGACTGTATTTCATTTTAGAATTTCCACACATTGACTGTATTTCATTTTAGAATTTCCACACATTGACTGTATTTCATTTTAGAATTTTCACACATTGACTGTATTTCATTTTAGAATTTTCACACATTGACTGTATTTCATTTTAGAATTTCCACACATTGACTGTATTTCATTTTAGACTTTCCACACATTGACTGTATTTCATTTTAGACTTTTCACACATTGACTGTATTTCATTTTAGACTTTTCACACATTGACTGTATTTCATTTCAGAATTTACACACATTGACTGTATTTCATTTTAGAATTTCTACACATTGACTGTATTTCATTTTAGACTTTTCACACATTGACTGTATTTCATTTTAGAATTTTCACACATTGACTGTATTTCATTTTAGAATTTCCACACACTGACTGTATTTCATTTTAGAATTTCCACACATTGTCTGTAATTCGTTTTAGAATTTCAACACATTGACTGTATTTTACTTTAGAATTTCCACAAATTGACTGTATTTCATTTCAGAATTTCAACATATTGACTCTATTTCACTTTAGAATTTCCATATATGAAATATTCTCTAAATTGAAATTATTCAAAACATGCCAAATCTTATATATGGGCTGTTTCTACTGGACATGTTTTTGATTGATTTTGCAATTGGACCAAAATGGCTAAGTGGCAGCCATCTTGTTTTTTTAAATTGTATTACATAACTATCATATTTTTCTCAATACATTTTTTTATTATTTTGATTTTTTGACTAGGAACATTTAATACAAGCTTTGGAAGATATTCCTACAGATATACATAGGTGTTTATTATGATGTAGGTGACAAAAATATGCTAAATAATACAAAAATAATACACTTTCAAAAAACAAGATGGCTGCCAATCAGCCATTTTGATGTTAGAATCATGAATAGACACATTTTCTTGTCTTACGCACAGTAAAGTTGATTATATGAAATAGGAATTTACATTAACATTTTTTTTTTGAGTCAGACTAGACATTGATGGGACAAGTTAGGGTAGTGTCATTTGTTATAAGTGTTCAAGGTTGACAATACAGTTTCATGGAAGTCTTTTGAAAATGCAGATATTTTGTGAATAGATTGCTCGTTGCTTTGCAGGGTCATGTGTTAAAAACAAAAATTGGGGTCCCTGATCAAACTTTTTGAATAAAAGTAACATTACTTTGAGTGGATTATGGAGTTAAAACATGAGACTATATTGGGGGGGGGGGTGAAGTAAAACCTGATACTTTCAATAAGAAAATTCTTCCTACTTTTTTTTTTTTAGAAAAAAATATTTGTAACAAAAGATACATCTGTTTCAGTAATTTGTTCTATTCTAATACATAGGGACAGAATGAAAACTCCCTGTGTCCATTTCAAACCCACCCTTACCCTTGTTCATGAAACTGTATTATCAACCTTAAAGGGCATACTGCCCAAAATTAGGGCTCAGTACAGTAAATGGTGCAATATTTATAAAATGCCTCATAAAATGTCTATTTTTCACATTTTCAATATTAATTTGTGACAAATTCAAATATAATTTTACTTTACTTAATTAGTTCGATTTGAAAAAAAAGTGAGACTGAATCAAATGTAAGTTACAATACACCTTTCCTGTCAGTTTGGCCCGCAGGAGATGAAGCACTTCTGCAACACAAAATTCATTGTTGGAAACATTGTTGTTTTGACAGCGAGTTTTGGGTTGTGTAGCATTCATCATTTAGGATAGAGTAAATCTTTCAGATAAATCTTTCAAAGCTTAGAGGAATTGTGTGTTGAGCAAACTTTGTTACACTGTAGCAGTTAATTATAATAATATTAAATGGCGGTGGTCATCATGCAGTGAGTTTTGATTTTGTGTAAACAATGTATTTCACATGCGCATATACGTCGTTGTGGGACTCATATTAAACACAACATAGTGTGATGACCACTGCATGTCCATTGAGGCATTGTATCAATGTATAAAGTTTACTGTAATTATTGACATATGACAATTAAAAAATAAACGAAATAAAATTGATCTGATGTTATTCTTAATTATCATACACCTCGTATTGCCCGGCCTTGTAACGCTACGGGAAGTGCGCCCTCACATCAGGGCAATAATTTCCTGTATCTAACCAGCCCAGCACACTCTGTTTTCGTTAGTCAAAACAATGATGTTTGAGGTCACATCGTGGTAAAATTGTAATTACATCTATTAGGCATACAATAAAATCCTTATGGACTGGAAATGACTTTGTTGCCCTTGGTCGTTTGACTTCCGTGACCTTGCAAGCTCTGGGGCTCCTGTCGCTCGACCTCAGGCTGCAAAAGTCGTATCCTATCCATAAAGATTAATAGTATCAGTCGTGTCACTGAGGATCTTATAGCAATAGTCATGGCTATATTCATTACCTTATGATGTAAAAATCTATTGTGAGGACGGTAATTTGATGTTGCCTGATATTTACATAATGAATGAGAATAAAAAATGAAAAAAAAAAACTAGACTGCATTGAACACACAACTGATTATCCGACTCTGTGTGGATATAAAGTAAATAAATGCTGTGGAATGTAATAATACTTGTATAATAACCTTGTGTACATTTAATAATCCATGTACTATATTAACCCTAAGGTCCCTTAGAAAATAACATGATTTGTGTGAATAGTTCTCAAATAGTAGAGCAATATATATATATATATATATATATATATATATATATATATATATATATATCCAAGCAACATTATGGCGGGAAAATACTAGACCATTCATGTTTCACTATTTAATTCCTGGATTCAAAATGGGCAAGGTTGTAATAGTTACACTACGTTTTATTTACATGCAACAGATTCCTAGCTAGTTTCCTGGTTGCTACATTACTGGGGAGGGGTGATTTTAATCTGGTCGCTCATGAGGCGATTTGTTTTTCATGAGTTGAATAAACTGCCTCGCATGTTAATTGTCTTCTAGAGATATTTCGTATTAATGTATGAGCGAACACTCATGGTTGTTATGTACATTACAGCGAGCGCAAGATATTTACATACACCTAACTGTGTATGTAACTTTATTGTGTCTACAATGGTCATTGGAGCGTATAGGAAAGTGTCTGGAGATGTTGCAAAGTTAAGTCCCTTGGTAATTACCTACCAGGGTGCTCGAGTTAGGTGTAAATATCTTGCGCTTGCTGTACTACTCTTGCATACTCTTTCATACATTAAGACCATCTACAAATTAACCATCTACAATCTACGACTACGTATTAATTGTAATTTCCCATGTGTGACATTGTTTTATTTCTATTCCTTTATATTATAAATAACTTTTCTAAATCTCATACATTGTAAATCTTGTCAGCCTGAGTTTTTGTTTTTTGGTGTCCACTGTGCCAAACCCATGTCAACTAACTCTTTGTTTACATAGCACATCTGAAAGATACCAAAAATATATTTAGTAGCGAAGTAGATAAAAGGATGAGGTTATGGTGACATGCACTGCTATGACGATCCTATTTTGTTTGATATGTGTGTCAGTCAAACATATTTCCAACTTACAGTGTCGCAGCATGCATCAGAGGCTAACAAATATTGAATGTATTCCAGTTTAGACAGGCTTCCCCATAGTGTTGCGTTTGGAAGATTTTCCTGTGGTATTTGGTTAAGACAGTTTCCTTGTGTTCAGTTTAAACAGAATTTCCTGTGGTGTACATTCAATTAAGACAAGTTTCCCTGTGGTGTTCAGTTAAGACAGGTTTCCCCATGGTGTTCAGTTAAGACAGGTTTCCCTGTGGTGTTCAGTTAAGAGAAGTTTCCCTGTGGTTTTCAGTTAAGACAGGTTTCCCTATGATTTTCAGTTTAAACAGAATTTCCTGTGGTGTTCAGTTAAGACAGGTTTCCCTGTAGTGTTCAGGTAAGACAAGTTTCCCTGTGGTGTTCAGTTAAGACAGGTTTCCCTGTAGTGTTCAGTTAAGACAAGTTTCCCTGTGGTGTTCAGTTTAGACAGGTTTCCCTATGATGTTCAGTTTAAACAGAATTCCCTGTGGTGTTCAGTTTAGACAGGTTTCCTGTGGTGTTCAGTTAAGACAGGATTCCCTGTGGTGTTCAGTTTAGACAGGTTACCCTGTGGTGTTCAGTTTAGACAAGTTATCTTGTGGTGTTCAGTTTAGACAGGTTACCCTGTGGTGTTCAGTTTAGACAGGTTACCCTGTGGTGTTCAGTTTAGACAGGTTTTCTGTGGTGTTCAGTTAAGACAGGTTTCCCTGTGGTGTTCAGTTAAGACAGGATTCCCCGTGGTGTTCAGTTTAGACAGGTTACCCTGTGGTGTTCAGTTAAGAAGGATTCCCTGTGGTGTTCAGTTTAGACAAGTTTCCCTATGGTGTTCAGTTTAGACAGGTTTCCCTGTGGTGTTCAGTTTAGACAGGTTACCCTGTGGTGTTCAGTTTAGACAGGTTACCCTGTGGTGTTCAGTTTAGACAGGTTTT